CTCAATCACAACTCTTCTACTCCAAATTCAAATCCATAACTACTTGATTGAACTCCATTCTATTCGCCATGGATTGACATCAGAGTTGAAATCTTCTGTTTGCCCAGCTTAAATCCCCAAGAATAATAATGTCGTGTCAAGAGAATCCGGAAGATTGATTTTCACATGTGCCCTTGTACTGGGAAGTGAAAGGGCGTAAACTATTGCACGATGGACGAATTTTCGGAGGAAGTTAGAAATAAATAAGAACAAAGATAAAGAAGCACAAAAATTAAATTGAAATTGAAAAATGCAATGACATAACACGTAGTAAAAGAAATAGTTTCTTCCATGTTAGCCAATTACCAATTTACCTTAGCGAAAATTAAGCAGAGAGCATGAATTGTAAAATGGATAAAATTACTTGAAACTCTACTATGGAAATTGAAGTATTAAGCATCATAAAAATACATACAATAGTCTTAGTGAGCTTGTTAATCATGATGGAAAAGTCCTCCGCTTTCCGGAGTTCAACATCGTGTATGTTTTGTATTAAAAAAGATGCCTCAAATTCATTTAGGTGTAATTGGTTATGATTGTTGTCTGTGTGTTTGAAGAGACCTCAGTTCAAATCCTGATATTGATATTTTTCATATGAAATAAATATTTTATTGTAAAGACAGAAATGTCATTCCTACTTTCACTCTCGTTGTAGGAAATTTGAAATGAACAAAAGTACACAAAACTCTACCAAACAACCAAACACGACAATTGAAAAATAGTCGTACCGCCGATGAAGGGCCTTCTGAGCTAGCTACTAAATGAGTAGCCCTAGTATACATGATGCAAGGAGTAAAAGTATAAGAAAAATTGAAAAACACCGAAGCTACCACTCAGACTTCTTCCATTATCGCTCCCCCTTGATCCATGGGCATTAGGAAACATGCATTAGACACCAATCGAGCGCATCTCTTCACACCAAAATTTCCATCATAAATGGGTTGGTAATACCTGAGTAATATTTCACGGGTAATTATCATAAATAGTCACAAACCTATTCACTTTGTACAAAACGGTTATAAATCTTTAATTTTTCACGTTTCAATAACATATGTTTGGACTAATAACAAAAAGGTAATTCCGTCCATCTCCATCCAAAATTCTGTTAGTTTGACCTAATCAGCTGTCCCGTCAGCATCCGCATCATCAAAATAATTAATAAAATAATAATTAATTAAACTCTAACCAACCCATCACCCCAATCCAACCTAACCCATTCCTCTATATATCCTCTCCCTCTTCGACCTCCGCCACATCTCCTCACAGCCGAGGCATAACAACGACGCTGCCAGCGGAGATTACTCTGTTCAGTGTTCAACTCCTCCGAACTAACAAAATTAGTCTTTATTGGACATTACTCTGTTCACCATGAGTATAAGTAAGAGTTGTATCACCAAGGAATTGTAAAACTGGAGCAGGAAATTCCAGTTGGTTGTTCTTTTTTTTCTAGCAGTCTCTTCCTCCCCCCGCCGCGTTGCTGCTATGGGTTTCGTGTGTGTCTCTTTTGTATATTGTATAAATGAGTTTGTTTATGGCTAATGGCTATGGGGTATTTATAAATGGGGCTAGCGTTGTTGGCGTTGGGAATCCCCATTCCCATTCCGATTCCATTCTCGTCAAACATTCTTTCCAACATTGCACGCCTGTTTGTTTCTTCGTTTCTGTCATCCATCATCATCGTCACCACCTATATAACTCATAATTTTTCTGGAGTGGCGAGGGTCCGGCACCACCTCCTGGGCGATTTGGAACCCGCCGACGGGGAATTAACAGCCGCCGAGTTCCGCAAAGCCGCCGGGGCGGAGAGAGGAGGAGATGAAGAGGAATGAGTTGGGTTGGGTTGTATGGTGGGTTGGTTAAGGTTTAAGTGGTGCTTATTTTATTTTTTATTAATTATTTTGATGATGTGGATGCTGACGGGACAACTTACTAGGTTAAACTAACATAATTTTGGATGGACATTGACGGAATTACTTTTTTTATATTAGTCCAAACATTTGTTACTGAAACGTACAAAATTAAAGGTTCATGACTGTTTTGTACAAAATGAACCATTTATGATAACTACCCAATATTTCACAAGATCAAACAAAAGCATCTCATTTGGAGAAAACCGGCAAAACCAATTTTCCCACCGCAGTCCCTTCTCGCAAGCCTCATCGAATCGCCTAAGGACTCCTCCAGCCAGGAAAATTCCATTTTGAGCAAGTCTACAATTAGTGCAAGTTCATCTAAAAAAGTACAAATACATAAATAATCATATTTTGTTCTTTGAGGTGGACTTAGCAACCCAACCCATCTTCCTAAATGAGTCGGATCCTCGTCGGTTTGTGAAAACAAGATCGATTATTTTCTTGCATCAACAACACTCAACAGTTTGGAAATCTCGCCATAATCTGATCCATAATCCATACAAGTTCTAGGACGAGGTTTTTTGAACAGAACTTCGATATCTTTCATACCTTTTATGGTACTCGACGAGGGAAATCCTAAGAATCCAAGTTTTTGATCAAGCAAGAGAACTATGCTGGTCCAAATTACATGCTAGAGGATCCAATCCAGTTGGGTCATGGGATGTCCAGTTCGTCCAAACAATTAATACAGGGCACAGGTGGGCTTCAATCTTGGTGTAGCTTTCGTCCGTACCTGTGGTCCAACAATTTCTTGTCCAAGAAAAGTCAACAAACTAGTACATGAAATTAGTTGCCCTTATCGTGGTGGACACCTTAGCAGGACAAGAACTAACACGAGACATGAATATTATCCAATAATAAAATACATTAAACTCTTCCATCTGAGTTTAAATTTTGAAACCTGATCTTAGAGAACCATGTGCTCACCAAGTATTGATTGCAATTCTAATCTGAGACTACTTTGAGCTGAACACTCGCCTGAGCTTGGTAAAAGATGCATTTTGCTCGGATTAGTTTGTTTCCGTAGTTTGTAATTTTTGTCTCTTTACGTCACTTTGTGAATTGCAACCAAACTTTTTGAATCGTGAGTTACGAGGAAAACCAACGAAAACAAACGACTATACTGGACATCTGTCCTACTATGCATATCCCCTATAACGAGCCAGTTGATCCCAATAACTCGAGTTGTTGGGAGAAGTTCAATTGTGAATCATATATTATTTATTAACACATCCCCTCAAACTCAAGTCACTTAACAGAAACAAATAGGGACATCGGGATTCGAATAGGAGACCTCTCGGTGACAGAATGCTCTGCTACCATGTCAAGAATCAGTTGATCCCAATAACTTATATTGTTGGGACAAGTTCAATTATGTATCATATTCCATTTATTAACACCCGATGCTAATGGTTGTTGCACAACTCATCTCTTGTGATGCCTCTTCTTGAAATGAGGATCTGGACACTTCACATGTAACTTTATAGATAAACCTTCGAATTTTGCCCCACTAGACAATACCATGGTGGAGCAAGAAGTAATGCTTACCAAGATTGAGACTGGTTTTAATTAAAGGCTCAGAATAAGAACAAACAAGTGTCTAAAAGACACAACAACGTTTGCAAATCTGAAATGTCCGAGAGCCACTTTAATTGGATTGGATAGTAAAATATCACGCTATCGATCGCGGAATACTTCCTTAAAATCAGGTGGGAGTTGGCGCCTAGCATATTTTGTCTCAAATGAAACGAACTTAGAGAGAAAGAGGAGCTCAAAGGGTTTACATGTTGCCGGATTCTTACATGACTCACCTCTTGCAAATTGAAAAAAGATTCGATGTTATGTAAGTTACTATCTTTTCACTGCTGCTTTTGAAAATTGAAAGAGGAGGGAAGCAAAAGAGCGATGATTTGATACCACTGGAGGAGATTAAGGTCGGTGTATTCAAGAGCGACCAGATCAGGGCTCGTCGGTCGCTTAATTTCGTCCGGAACAACTTTCGCTCTTGCACTTTAACCGCGGGATTTCATTTAACGGCGAATATGGAGAAGAAACTTGGCAATGGCCGCTGGCAAGTAGGGGTGTTCAAACGGTTTGGTTATCGTGGTAACCGTTTTAACCGGTATTATTTGAATAATTTGGTTTGGTTAATTTGGATAATTGGTTTGGTTTGGTTAAAGTTTTTAGCTTGTTTGGTTTGGTTTCAGACACTCCTAACTAGTCAAACCAAATTAACTAGTTAAGTAATTAGTCATATATCTAACATATATTATATACACATACTTAATACTTTGCATAACCACTCAAGAGTTAATGTTCATCCCTTTTAGACTCATAAAATAAAAAGCTCAATATTGCTCATATAGTGTATATTTGTATATGTAAAGTGTAGACCACAACATATGAACGCCTAATTTAGATAAATTTCATACATTATGATGGATGAAAACTTGAAAGGAAGGTCATTTCCGGCCTATGATAATTGCTAAGAGACTAAGTCAATTTACACAAACACAACAATTCTTTAACCCATACCATTGTCATAAATTTTTGTTAGGTGAATACTTCTATACTATTCGTAAGATAATTGTCTTAGTTGTATGTATTTTTGTTAAGGGTCAACTATAACTACGTGTTGATTGTTATGTTTTATTCATTATATAAATTACGAATTGTTGCATTACCAAAAAAAAAATTCATCGTCAATGATAATGTGATTTTATATTGGTTAATTTGGTTAACCAATTAACCAAACCGATTAAATTTTAGTTTGGTTAATTTGATTGTTGTATTAGTTTGGACGGTTTTGTTATAATATTATATTCCATGGTTAATGGAATTTAGCCTTATTTGGTTTGGTTATAACCATGGTAACCATTTGAACACCCCTAATGGCAAGACTCGAGACTAGAGGACTGGTAACAGCAGCACCGCCGCCGCCGTGGCTGTGGGCTTCCCTGTGGACAAATTAGTTCGGATAAAGTTGGGCTTTCATTGAGATTTCGGAAAATCGCATAAGCCCAAAATCATGGGCTTTGAGATAAATACCCATAACTTTCTCTGGCCCATTTCTAGTACGAATTAGTGTCGGAGAGGAAAATAATTGTTTTGTCCGACACTACACATAAAAAATCCATGTCACTCCATAAAAAAAATTAATTCCACGTCACCAAACCTGCTTGAAAAAGAAGCCAGCCGAGTTGTACAAACTCGAGAAACCTCCGCCTTCTCCGTTTCTCCTTAAACCCTAAACCTCCCTTGTCCTCTTTCTCTAGCTCGCCCCTTCCCCAAAAATTTCCACAGCCAAAAACCCTTTGATGGACGATTCGGGTGATCAGAGGTTCCAAAAGTACCACCCCTACCAGAATTTCTACAGCGTCCCTTCTCAGAGCCTCTACAATCTGCCCACGTCCCCGGAGTTCCTCTTCCAGGAAGAAGCCGCACGCCAGCGCAGGACCTGGAGCGAGAATCTCACCTACTACACCGGCGCGGGGTACCTTGGCGGTGCGATCGCCGGCGGTGCGAAGGGGACGCTCGATGGGATCAGGGCGGCCGAGGCCGGCGAGAGCATGAAGTTGCGGCTGAACAGGGTTTTGAACTCCGGCGGGCAGAGTGGTCGGCGGTTGGGCAACACTATGGGAGTCCTGGGTCTGATGTTTACTGGGATCGAGAGCGGCTTGATTGCGTTGAGGGATGTGGATGATTTGGCTAACACCGTGGTTGCTGGGCTCGGCACTGGGGCAGTTTATCGAGCAGCCAGAGGCCCCAGATCGGCGGCGATTGCTGGCGCTATCGGAGGGGTCGCGGCCGCTGCTGCTGTCGCCGGGAAGCATGTTGTTAAGAGATATTTTCATGTCTAGTGAAATATTATTCGATTCTTGGTATGAATTGGGGTTTGGGGAACTTGATGGTTATTAATATGATTTCAAGAAGTGAAATATCATTCTGCAATATTTTGTTGTCTGTTCAATGTTCAGTACTTGCCAAGATTTCATCTTTCATTGATTCTAAAACACTCAGTATTGTAAATCACTAAATCTAGATTTCTAATTGAGCTCTATGCTAATGTCTGGCTATCTGAGGGTGCTGACATGAAATCGTTTTCTACTCAGTTATCTTTGATAGATAAATAGCTTCTGAAACAGCAGGGGAAAGTTGCAAAAGCAAAATGCAGGAATATTTGCAATTGGAATTCACCATTTATTGTTTTCACAAGCTGTGACCAAAAGTAAAATTCAGAACCCAAGTAAAAAAATCATCAGATTTTACCCTATTTGACAGCAAGAACCAGTAGCAGGAGACAATGGATTTACATCCATCCTGCAACACCAAAAAACAAAAGAAACCAACCACAATCCCAGAAGAATCCCAATATATTATGTTCCCTTGCCATCAAAAGAAACCATCTTCAGCATTTATTCTCCTTTCACAAACACACCCATCACATGGAAACACATTCATCTTTGAGGTGGATCTACAGTTCGGACGTTGGCGCTCCCCATTCCTTCAATTCGATCTTTGGTGATCTCCACAAAATGACCCACTATTTCATGAAACTGCTTCAGCCCAGAGAGTGGAAGAATTATGGAGGACCTATCAGAACCAGCAACCTACAAATATTTTTACCATCAGCTCCAATGTCAATAGTATCAAGGTTAGAGATGACTAATGTGCCCCGAAGTTTGAACTACGACTTCAACCAAATTACCTCAGAGATCCTCAAGAAATGGCCTCTGTTATTACTCCCGAGATCGAAGAAGAATCTTTTCTGATCAACTCGGATAACCTTTGACACTCCAAGGTTACCAATCTCATCCTGTGTCGGCAGGTCAACTGCCCGGTCTACATTTAACTCAGAAGTTGGAGGAGCAGGCTGTTGGGTGCTGTGCCCAGATATAAATCCAGCGCCTACATCATCAGAAAGTCCAACTAGGCGCTCCGGGGATTCAGAATTTTGCTGTTTGTAATAACATTCGCACAGGTGACGAACATGTGACATTTGTCCAACTCAGAACCTTCTCCATGTATTAGTTAGTGACAGAAAAGAGATGTAACAGTCACCTGATTGGACAGCATGTAAAGCCTTGAAGCTTCATTAATATCTGCCAAGATGTTCCTAAAAGAAGCCCAGCCTTCATCCCTAGAAGTTCCAGCAGGAACAATGATAGTACTGCGGTTTCTACTAACAGAAGCTTCTGAGACCTGCAGAACATTAAGAGTGATCAACTATGAAGATTCTTGTTAACAATCCCAAACATTCACACACTTTAGGAGTGTACTCGTATGGATAAACCAATCAACTAACTCTTCCTCTATGTACTGCCAGACTACCATTTGGCAGCTTACATATTTGCATATTCCAGTCTATAAATATTTAACAGCCTAAATCAGGAAAAAGCCACTAGATAGAACTGCCACGTCTTTCCTCTTTCTGTTTTCCTGAACTGGACCTTCACAAAATACCAAGAAAGGGTGGGGAAAATACAGGTCCTTCCGGAAGAAGCATAGAGTCTTCCAAAAATGAAAAGCTTAAGAGCAAGACCAAAGCATCTGTTCTCCCTGAAAATGTCATCAGGATACCACGACACATTTTTTTTATTTATAATGTTGATAGATACCACGACACATTTTTTGAGAACGAAAAATCCTTATATAAGGAATGTTAGTGAGAATTAGCACCAAGTTATACCTTGAGAAAACGTCCCCTTCTGTTTTCCCCAATGTCAAAATAAAACACCTGCAATATACAAGACAAATGGCAACACGTGAGTAAGAGAACTCAGGGAGGGAATGGCGAGTAAGAGAGACGCAGAGATACAAGTAGAATGGCGGAGAGTTGCCTTAGTGTCCAACTGTAATTCCTTGCTGAAGAGGTCATGCTCATCAGAATTGACATAGTAATTGAAGAGGTCCAAGAACCAGGAAATCCCAGAGGAAGGAACAATGATAGTAGACCTGGTGGATGATGTCTTCTCAGATATCTTCAAGTACCGGCCTCTTGGGTTCTCCTTGAGATCAAAATAGAATAGCTTGTGTTCAACTTGAAGAGTCTTGCACATGAGCTCAACATCATTCCCTCCTCCACCTACAACACCAGCAGTTCCTGGTGTCACCACTGCCGCTGCTGCTGCTACCCCTCCACCAACACTGCTGCCTCCGCCGCTAGAATTTCCCTCCATCTTAGAGAGGGCAAGAGAAAGAGATTTGGATATGATAAATGTTAAGAACTTGAGCTTTTTCTTGTTTGAATAATGCTGTTGGGTGACTATATAGGGCAGCACTCTACTCAGAAGCCTCCAGTGAGGAAAGATCAATGGGGAACTTGAATGCTGGTTGCAGTCAACTGGAGCTAAGTGGCTGCCACTCAGCAGTAGCGCAGAAAAAGGGAGTGCGGATGTGAAACTAATTGATCAAAAACCAAATCAATCAATCAATACAAACAAAAGGGAAAGTGGGAACAGAAATTTCCTCTTCACAACCAACTCCAAGTTGCAGAAGCATTATTTACCCACTTAAACTTCCTTTAATACCCAGTTCCCAAACCAACAACAACAACAATGAAATCAAGCCAAATTCGGTTCTTGACAAATGGGAAAAAAACTCGAGCGACAAACAAACAACAAAACTTTCTTCCTACCTACCTCTTCCAGCTCTAGTTTCCTACCTCCTCCAATCCCTCAACTACCATCGATACATAAAGATAAAAAGTCAACAGAATCCCAGTTCTAGCTCACGAAACTTCTGATCTGAAATCGCCCATTTCCATTCCCCAAAACCCCAACATAACCCGCGATATATATCAATTAGAGAGATAACCAATTCGCTAACTTGACGTATTGACCATATCCCACAAACGACACAGAAAGGAAGAGATAAACCCAGGTAAGGAAAAAAAGAGCTTCACCTGTTTCTTATCCGGAAGCAGTGTCTGATTCAGAGAAGAAACAAAAGAGGAGATCAAATCGGATCAGATTGGAAAAGCAGACAAATTGAGATTTCAATCGGGATATTAGATTAAATAATTGAAAAAATGAAATGAGATGGGGTAATTTTTACCTGCTCGAGAGAGGGACTGAGAGAGAGTAGCTGAACAAACGAGAGGGGAAGGAGGGGAATGGGGGAGAAGGGAAGGGAAGTGACGTGGAGGATGGAAACGGGTGTAAAACCGAACCCGGGATTAGGCCATGGACTGGATGCGGATGGTATTAATCAGAAAAGCCAAGTTGTGGGCACACATCAATCGTCGTCGTCTTCTTCTTCTTCTTCTTCGGGGGGCTGCTGCTTCTCCTTTCTCTCTCGTCTGACGTCTCTCTTTCAGCCTCCGCGACCGCCCCCACCACCATTTTTTAGCTGCTGCTGCTGTGCGCGCGCGGGGTCTTGGTGTTGACTAACTCGCGTGCACCCTACGCGTTTACCATTTGGAAGCTTTCGCTTTTGTATGCTAGTATCGAAAAAAATCACAAAATAAACATATTTTTTAAAAAATTCACAAAATGCATACGTTTTATGAAAAATTCTCAATCTACGCATGTTTGGGCATCATTGTGGCTGTCAATAGCAGTGAATGCTTTCACTGAGGCAGACGAAAGCGGTGAATGCATCACCACGGTCCGCGATTGTCGGACGCGGTGAAGGCCTGACCCAAGGCTGAAACTTTAAACGAACGTAATTTTGCACTCGGTTATCTGATTGTAGCAAAAAAAATTTGATTTCACATAATTTTTCAAGATCTTTTAATTTTCAACTCGCTTTCATCCCAAAAAAAAAGTGTCGCTTGCTTACCCCGAACGAGCAATTTTTCAATTTCGACAAACTATGAAAGACCCTAACTTTGTGCTCCGCAATTCTGAAACATTTTTTCATTACACATAAATTTTTAAGGACTACAAATTTGATCATAACCATAATTTTGGAATGTATGTGGATTTGTGAAAAGTAAAGGCAGAGTTATTCCCAAAATCCGTATACTTAAAAATATTTCTTGTTTTAAAAATTCTTTCCCAGTAAAAGTTGTAGTTCTTAAAAAGTTATGCGCAATAATTTTTTATTTATTTTGGATTGAGGAGCACAAAGTTATGGCCTTTCAAAGTTTGGCAAAATCAAAAAATTGCTCGTTCGAGGTAGCAAATGACATTTTTTTGGGACGAAGGCATGTTGCAGATTGAAAGATCTTGAAAATTTTTGTGGAATAAAAAAAACATTTTGCTAGGATCGGATAACCGAACACAAAGTTACGTTCGTTTGAACTTTCAGACTTGGGTCAGGCCTTCACCGCGGCTGACAACCGCGGTGATGCATTCACCGCTTTCTCCTGTCGTGGTGAATGCATTCACTGCTGTTGATAGCCGCATTGATGCCCAAACATGTGTAGATTAAGATTTTTTCATAAAACATGTGTATTTTGGAATTTTCTAAAAAACATGTGTATTTTGGGATTTTTTCCGTTCTTATCATCAATATTAGAGAACTAGAATGTGATAATTTGCTTGTTATTATACTTTTGAAGTATTTTACAAAGTACTTCAAGGAAGTTAACAGTGTTATCACAGCTAAATCATCCGTATGATGCTCTACAGTCTGGCGTGGAATGAAGAAGGCATGACCCATCATGTCGTCTGGTATGCGAATGAGAGTGAGAGAAGGACAAATCATTTTTTTTTGGACTGATAGGTGGTTTGACAATGTCGCCATCACTAAATAGTTCCAGGAACTATCCGAAAGGAATTGGGAGGTGATTCGGGCCTAATTGTACATATCTTACCACCGTTTGCCTTAGGCGTCTGTGGCAATTGTGTTCCTAAAAGGGTGGTTTTAAGCGAGGTTTCTTGTGTTTTAGCATGATTTCAGGATCAAGCAGGTGACATCAGCCCCGGAGTCGAAAGTTGGATGAAAAGGAGCGAAAACTGGGAGAAGGGGGGTGAAAAACCATCAGTTCACGGCTTTCCTTGGAAGTTCACAGTCTGCTAAGACCGTGAAGAAGAGATGTTGCCCGTGAACATCAAGGTGTCTAGGGCCAAATCTCAAGTTACTGACGCTAATTGAGTTCACGGTCACTAAGACCGTGAATTGGAGTTGTTGCCCGTGAACCAGTGCAAGCGAAGCGGTGCGTTTCAACGCCCATTTCGAGTTCACGGCTTTGAACTGACTACGATCCCTGTTTAAAAGAAGAGCTGAAAGGAAGAGAGAGGGAGAGCGCAAAAAGAGTGAGAAAGTCTTCTTCTTCAGATTTTAGAGAGAGAAAGACGAACCAAAGGAGAAGGAAGGGTTTTACTCCAAGAGTGGATTTGGGAAGATTCTCCCCAAGATAAGTTCAGCACAAGTGCAAAGAAGATTGGAAGCCTCCCCATGATTGTTTCTACCTCTTCCCCTTGTGTTTCTCCCATTTCTAGCATGGAGTAGATTTCCTTTTCACTTGGGTGTTGTGAAACCCTAACTATCTACCATGAAGTTTTTGTTATGTGAATTGAATGATTTTTTATGGGTGTTGTTTAATTCAATGATTGAGGTATTACTCATGTTGATTGTGCATGTTTTGTGCTTAGAAATCTAATTGGCTAATTTAACATAGACCAGAGAGGGAAAACCCCCATTCAAGGGAGGCTCAATTGAGTTGGTAATCCTAGGACTTTTTAAGTCACCTATCCAGGTTAATTTAGGGCAAACCTTGATGTTGGATTAAGAAATTTGGTTAAGCGCGATTAAGCCGACCAACCATTGGGTTGAGTGAGGGAGTAAGTCAATCATCGATTGCCTAAACCGAGAGGGCCGAGTGACAACCTATAATGTATCCCTCGGTTTAGCAATCGAGAGTGTGGTCTACGACCATATTTGCGTCCCCTAGAGGTTCACGGTCACCTTGCCCATAGCAATCATTTTGATTCACATACCATGGTAGTAGTTAGGGGAAGCGACTCCCGAGTGATCCTTCTCACAAAAGAGCTTTCAAAACCATTTACTTTTACCTTGCTTTACTTTAATTAGCAAACTTTTCAACCAAAACTGAGTCGCTAAAAAATGATACAAATGACTGAAGTAGGGGTACACGGACGGGGCCGAGTCGATATTTAAACATACTTGCCCTATAATGCACCCGACTAAGGTTTATACTTGGACCTTAGGCGAGAATTAATTGTGGTATTCGGGACGAGTCAGGAGGTCTCTATCTTCCACATTTATCGGGAAGGTAATAAGTGTGTTGACTTCCTAGCTAGTCAAGGGCATTCCCTTCCCTTGAGTTTCATTTTGTTTCAGTTTCTTATCCTGATCTTTGTCCATTCCTTTTGTATGACTGCCAAAACCTTTCTGAGTCCTGTGAATGAAAGCTGTGATGTGTTGCACCCATTTAAAAAAATATATATTTATGAATTTTACAATGCATAAAAGTTAAATTTCTATCATAAATTTGTTGAAGGTACAAGTTCATGTTATACCATAAATAACTTATACAAAAAGTCATAAATACAAATTGAATTTGTACCGTAAAATTAAGGTACAAGTTCAGTTTGTAATATAGTTTAATTTGTACATTAAATATATGTACAAACTAAGTTTGTACCATAATGTTAAATTAAGGTACAAGTTCATGTTATACCATAAATAACTTATACAAAAAGTCATAAATACAAATTGAATTTGTACCGTAAAATTAAGGTACAAGTTCAGTTTGTAATATAGTTTAATTTGTACATTAAATATATGTACAAACTAAGTTTGTACCATAATGTTAAACGTACAAATTTTGTATCATATTGTTTTTGGTAAACGAAAAGCATCCACGCTTATGAGCATACTAACTGATCTCATTATACTTTTATGAGTAGCAAATCTAAGTCTTTTGTTGATACAAGTGTTGCCCTAACCATTTAAGGTGTTTGGAAAGTTCTAATTATCAATCCCCAAGTTTCATAATATTTGGAGAATATAAATTTCCTTTTTCTTCATGGATGTGAGAGCCGCAAAAAGGTTGCCTAATCTCTCTATGGCTAAAAGACTCAAACAAATTGATCTTTCATTGTGTACGAGCTTAATTAGTTGAGATTCCCACCTTAGTTCTGGATCTTCACGAGTTGGAAAGACTCGATGTGAGTTACTACTGCAACCTAAAGTCGGATAACTTGTAATGCTTTGCAAACATCAGCCGCAAATAAAGTGGTAATTCTTCTGACATCTTGCCCAACTTGAAATGGGTGGACCTAAGTGTCAAGAACCAGTTAGTCCCAATAACTCGAGTTGTTGGGAGAGGTTCAATCGTGGATCATATACCATGTCAAGAACCAGTTAGTCCCAATAACTCGAGTTGTTGGGAAAGGTAAACTTGATGGGTAGTTTGATCGAAGAAGTGATTGGGTTGGAAAAGTTGACACAGCTGGAGCTCTTCAAAATTTTGAAAAATGAGCAACTCGTTCTCATGTCTGATGATTTTTCCAAGTTGAAGTGTCTGGAAAAAAAATCAGTTGGATGGTTGTAGCAAATTATCCTGCCTTCTTGGCAGCATTTGTAGTCTAGCACGTTTTGAAATTCTTGATCTAAGTTGCACAACTGTGACAGAGCTACCATCTTCTGTTGGAAATCTCATACGACTGGATAAACTCGATCTGTTTGTTTGGAGGAGCTTCCTTTATCTCTGAGATATCTGGATGCAGATGGTTGCAAGTCGCTTCAAACCTTGTCAAATGGCGTTGTTGAGAAACATTACTTTTTTTTTTTGACAAAGGGCACAAAATCTTTCATTAATAAAGGCAGAAGCCAACTGTTACAAAAGGGGGGAACCAACATCGAGGATTTGAATCCATTCAGTGGGTAGTTGGTTCCGAGCACAAGACCGAGCTACCCAGTTCTCTTTGGAATTACATTTTCTATTGAACCATTCAAACCTGATGTCTGGGTGTTCGCTAGCAATCTTCATGACTCTTCCAAGCCAGGCAGCCGCCCTCATGGCCAGAGAACAGGCTGGCCCTGGAAAGCCTCAATCAACGTCCGGAAATCCGAACGAATCATACAAGAGGCTTGAAGATCCACTGCGAACAAGGCCCCTTCCAGTAATGCTTTCGCTTCCGCCTCAATTGATGAGAAGCAGTGCAAGGGCTCAGCCTTCCCATCGACCACTTGGCCATGGACGTTCGTAACAACGACTCCATATGTCGCCTCCTGGGAATCGTGAAAAAACGATCCATCACAGTGTACTTTTTAAAAGCGTGAGTACTTGGCGGTGGCAAACTAGTATCCGGGGGGTGGAATAGGCCGAGGTTGATAGTAATCGTGTCTCCTCTTTGGGCAGGTTCTCCAGGCCTGGACTTCCTCCATTGCCCGCGCAATCGTTGCATTAGGCCACGGTGCTTTACCTTTAAACACCTTTTCGTTCCTTGTCTTCCAAATTTGCCACAGCAAA